TGGTGCTGCTGCTGGTGGTGCTGCTGCTGGTGGTGCTGCTGCTGGTGGTGCTGCTGCTGGTGGTGCTGCTGCTGGTGGTGCTGCTGCTGGTGGTGCTGCTGGGGCTGGTGCCGGTGATAGTGGAAGGTCTCCCTCCTCCACATTAGCAGCCAACGAAGCCATGACGACGTCAGGGAAAACGACGAACAGTAAGACGAGCCAAGACTGCAGAAGAAACGCCAATGGGCGTTGCCGCTGCAGACGGGACGGTGCTCGCCGCATTGCAGAGGGGGAATATGCACTAAATAAGGAATGTCGTATTCAAGCCGCCCCCCCCCACAATTTCCTCGCGCAGAATCAGGCAAAGAATGAAGGATTGCAAAAGACGTAAGAGAAGGGGAAGAGAAAGAAGAAATAAACGCTGCGGAACCACGAGAAATGCGCGACACGTGTTTCGTGCCAACGACGCCACCCCACCTGACCAGACGGCATCACTTGTGTCCTCTGTGTTATGGGCGCTTAATCGAGACGGCTTTGCCCCCTTCCCGCTTCACCTTGCTTCCCCCACTGCTCCTCCTCCTTCTCCTCCTTTTCTTCTTCTTCTTCTTTCGTCTCACCCTCACCTCTTCCACTGCCTTCGCACCGGAGCCGGGCCCTTTCCTCTTTTCTTTTTTTGTGTCTTTTATTATCCATCGCGTCTCCCTCTCCCCAACACTAATTCCTTGTTTCTTTTTTTGTTGTTGTTTTGGCTTAAAGGTACGCCTCCAGCGCCGCGGTATCGGCGCGGTCGGCGAGCGTGCACGCGAGAGAGAGGCGGACGTGCGCACCCTCGCCGTCTGTCGTCAGCATGCGGCGCACCACGTCACGGGGCAGCGGAAGGCGGATGTGGATTTCGTTCGACGCCCGCATCGCAGCCTCGCTGCTCTCCACGACGCCGAAACATGAGAACGGAAACCCCGCCGGCATGTCCGCCAGGCACCGATAATTCTTCTTCAGCTGCTGCTGCTGGTGTTGTTGCTTCGTGGCGGCAGCGGCGGGTACAATGCGGAAGGAAAGGGCCACCACGCTGTGCTCCAGCGCCGCGCACACTGCTTCCTCCGTCATGCTTCGAGCATCCGCCACGTCGGTAAACACAATCGCCTCGAACTGACTCAGCATCCCCTTGAAGAGTGTGGTTGTCGTTTCTGCTTCCGCAAGATGCGCCTCGGATCCCTTTGCCCGCCGCTTCGTCATTTCCACCGCCTCGTAATAGTTGAAGATCGGGGCCAACTGTTGCTGCCACATGGCGTGGCGAAGCGCGGAAGCCTTGGGCTGCATACTACGCCGCAGCATCCCCTCATCCCGCTTCACCTGCACCGTATGCACCGTCCCACACCACTCTGTAGCAGAAGCAGCAGCAGCAGCAGCAGCAGCGCCGCGGTTGTCTGTAACGCGATGCGGATGCGGGAATCGACCAACCACTTGGGATCGCGCCGCACGGTGTACAAGAAAGCGGTTGTGCAGCACCTCCGAGTTGAGGCCGTTAGCGGGGTGCATAAGCACCTCGCTGTCGCGCGCCCACCGCTGCTCGCGCTCCTTCACCAGGTGAATGATGTGCCGCGGTTGCAGGCGGCGTATCGCCTCCACCGTCATGCGGCGGCCGGTGCTGAGCACCCACCCGTGTGTGTTTACCACGACGGGATACCGTCGCTGTAGCAACTCCACAACGGCGCATAGCCGCTCCACTGCAGCTGCAGCAGCGAGCGGGCAGCGCAGCCGCGCACCACCGAGGTAGTGTCCGCGCACCAACTCTACACACGCGGTGTCGCTTGGACGCAGCAACGGGCGGCACACACGGTGCAGAGAGAGCGTGCCCGGCGGCCCAAACTCCGGCCGGCCGAGGTCAAGGTCGAGCCAGTAGCACACACCATGTTGCGAGAGCAGACCGTTCGCAAGAAAGCGGGCGAGCGTCGACTTGCCAATGCCCTGCGAGCCCAGCACTACAACGGTGCCGTTGTTGTGCTTTATAATGGCGGGGATGACTTCCGGCAACAGCGCCGCATCGATGCCAGGCTCGTGGCGCCGCGCAACAAAGCGCGGCACGTCGATGAAGGCATCTGCTGGTAACTCCTCCACCTGCTGCTGTTGCTGTTGCTTCTTTTGGTTCTGCTTCTTCTGCGGGCACCGCTTGAAGAAGTGCCGGCGTGTCGGTGGCACGCCGCACGGATCGTACGGCTGTACAATGAGCACGACACTTGGCAGCTTGCTTGCAAAGCGACCCCGCCACGACGCGACGGTCGCCTCCACCCAGTTCCAATCAATGGTGCCAAACACCTCCACGTTGTCGTTGTTGTCATCCTCATTTGCCCCGGTGTTATTCTCATCATCATTATCATCACCAGCAGCAGCAGCAGCAGCAGCAACATAACTGTTTCCTGGCAGTGGTGAGGGCGGCACGACAATGATGGGGCCGTCAAGTTGTTGTTGTTGTAAGCGCACCGGCACCGGCAGCGACTCCAATCCTGCGCTCTTGTTTTTGAGGCGCGTCACTGGCGTCATGACGACCTTCTGTGTGTCGCTGTGCAGCACAATTTGCTTCCTGCCTATGTAGAAACCGCCAACGGCGACCTCGCCGATGCCAAAGCCCATCACACCGCAGGGGCCTTGGATGGTGATGGGACCGTTGAGACACAGCAGTGTGTGGTGGCACGGATCCGCGCCATGGCGACCGACGTGTGTCTCGAAGAACATTGTGCCGTAGCGGTAACGGCGGTCGCCCACGGGGTTAGCGGCAACAGCGGGGGCAGCGGAGGGGGGCCCGCCGTTCTCACCGGTGGTCCTCCCCACACTCTGCTGCTTCTGTTGCTGCTGCTGGCGGCGGCGGCGCTCAAAGAGGCCAAATCCCGCCGGGGCGGCACCCGCAACACATGTGGCGCTCGCATCCTCATCTGCTGCTTCACTGCCGGTGGTGTCGCCGTCCTCCTCCTCTTCATCGCCTTCGGCACCATTCTCCTCCTCATCCTCATCCTCATCCTCCTCGTCTTCGTCCTCTCGCAGAAGCGAGTCGCTGGCGGAGTCGAGCTCGTCACTACCGTAGCCGGCGAAGTGCCGTTCAATCTCCCGCTCCTGCCTTGCCGC